TTTAAAAAATATACTTATTTGTTTTTAAACATGTCCTTATTAGTCATTTAATGTTAAATAACAACTGCTAATCATTGTATAGCCAAACAGTTATATTTATCAAATCCGCTATTTACCATTAACTACCCACTTTCCGCTATCCGCCATCCGTTATCCACTAACCGTTACCCGCTATCCACTATCCGCTACCTACTATCCACTATCCGCTGAATTTTAACCGCTGTACCAAACAGGCCCATAAACTAACTTTTTCAATCTGCTAACGATTTGGACTCTAACCGCTATCCGTTAGTCTCAAACCACTAAATAAAAATTTTACCAAACACTTTATTTATAGCGGTTTCGAAATATATAAATTTACCAAACACCTATGTTTAGCGGTTTAGGTAAAACCGTTACCCCAAAACCGCGATACCAAACGGGGCCTAAGATATAATTTGAGCTTGTGGTGAACTATGCGGTACACCTTCCTCTCCATGTTTTACACTTGTTAAGATATGAACACAATTATATTTAGAATTATTGTAAATATTTTATACTTTATAATATTTTTTTGGTATATTTTATACCTTAAAATATTCTCTTTGTAAACACCTGTATATGAGTCATTGTACATGCAGTATGATTCAAGAAAACAATAAACATTTCTTCAAATTATTCTTCTTTTCTATTTTCTAACATGATATCAGAGTTATAAACTCTAGTTCTTTTCTTTTATCATCGCTGTTGGGTTTTTTGGAATTGAATTTTCAATGCCATTCCAAATCTGAAACTTTGTCGTTGGGATCTCTTCTCCTATAGATTGGATTATTTATTCTCGATTCTCATGCCCTTTTTGAGGTATGCTATTGTTGGTTTGTTATTTCGATTTTGGCATCTATTTCTCATATTTTTAGAGTTTTTTAGTATTGTGAGTTTACTGATTCTATGGCAAGTTTTAAAAGGATTGTAACTCATCCTGCTACTACTGCTCCTGGTTCTTTTCTTCAAATTATTCTTCTTTTCTATTTTCTAACAACACTTATACACCAAAAATGAAGATGTTCATGTGCTTGAATATCTTGCATTTGGTCTTCCATGTTCTCAGCTTTTAGTATTTATTCTGTGTTCGTAAATTTTTTGTTGATTAATATTTCATTGTTCCAACATAGACATTGCAAGCATGTTGTCCTTACGGTGGATAGGATGGCAATCATTGTCATTCCTTGTTTTTGTGTTATTAATTGTCAGGTTGAAATTAACCTTTCGGTTATCAGTTGCTCCCAAAAAGGCACATGATAGAATAACGTGTGTCAGGGGTGCAAATCTGCTGCAAACACTGGAAATGGGCCGGTCTAAGAAAGGCAGCGGACGTGGGAAGGGGAGACGTCCGGGGCCCTCCCTCTCAGAAGAAGATAACCGGGGTGGGATCTGGTGATGGTCAGAAGGAGAAGCAACAGGCAACTGCTGTTGCAAAGGTGAGTAATTCTGTCACCCCTTATATCTAATGGATCGACTTGCCTCACGTAATGTGAGAGGGTTTAATGAACCTGTTAGATGATTGATCTTAGCAATTTTATAATGAGCATTCCTTTATTAGGTGTACTGGAAACTAGAGTGAAGAATTCATAAATGTATGGAGATTGCATCTAGATGTTGCAGGAATATTCGAGATTTTAACTAATCATACTTAATGCCATGAATGGTTGAATTTGGGTAGTATAGGACAAGCTGTTAGTGGATGTTCAGTTATTGAGATGTGGAGATTAGTACATGCATTACTCTGTGGCCTATAGTAGTGGACTGGGGTTTCTGGTTACTTTCATCTATTCATCTATGCTGCCATTGATATTAATTCAAGGAGGAATTTGTATGTTGAAATTAACCTTTCTATTATAAGTTTCTCTTTTGATAATTGTTATTCCTTGTATATGTTTTATTAATTAGCACAAATTTTAGTCTTTTCTTTTCTTCTCTGATTTTTATTTGCTGATAGTTTGAATGAACATGCTGATGGCAACGCAGGAAAGAAGTACTGCCCCTGCCTTCTCTGCCCAAGTTGTTGGTAGTGCCTTTGTGGAGCAGTATTAGCATATTCTTCACCAATCACCAGAATTGGTGCATAGGTTTTTTCGAGACACAAGTTTTCTAAGCAGGCCAGATGTGAATGGAAATATGACGACAGTGACAACAATAAAAGTAAGAAGCTTTGTAATGCTCGTTCTTGAGCTGTATAAGAACATACTGGTTATTTATACCCTTAAATTTAATTGCTTGCTAGAAGGGGGAAAAATGTAGAAAAAAATGTAGTGCAACCTCAGGCTTTTAGTCTATTTCCGTTCTTTCTTTTTAATTAAACTTACCTGTAATACAAATTGAATGATTGTATTGTGGATTGCTTTGATGTAGGCAATCAAGGAGAAGATTCTGTCAGTGAATTATGAAGACCACATGGCAGAGATTGAAACTGCAGACGCACAGGATTCGTATGAGAAAGGGGTGATTGTATTGGTAACTGGGTGTTTAATTGCTAAGGATAATGTGAGAAAGAAGTTCACACAAACATTCATTCTGGCTCCACAAGACAACAGCTACTTTATCTTCAGCGATGTTTTTAGACATATTGGAGACAGTAAGAGCCAGATTAATTCTGTGCCAATGGCATCAATGAAAATACCTCACCATCTGCCTCGGTACCTGAACCATGTTTGGGATCATGATGTATTATTCCACTCTATAATTTGCTTTAGATACAAAACTCAAGCATTTTTGTAGTGCAAGGACAGAATTGAGTTTTATTTGTGTACAATGAGTCCTTTTTTTTTTTTGTTGGTTAATATGATTCTATTCGTGGATGAAGGCTACTTGCATTATTACCTTTATACTGAATTAAAGGCTCAAAATGATTGAAGGAAATTCAATGATTTTTGAAGGAATCCTTTAAGTTAAGAGAAAGTGATATGTGAGTTGTTTTTTTTTTTTTTTTTTTGGCAATTTGTGAGTTCTGAAATGGTTGTATTTATTGTATTTCTGGGCTAATTTTGGATTCAGAAGGGTATACAACTCTTTAATGCTATCATCTATTTCTGCTATCGGGATATTTTATTTTCACTTTATTTATCACATTTCAGTGAGAATGGCCACGAATGATGACTGTATTGTTTGTGCTGACACCCTCAAGTGGGTTGCCTATGGGCCTTGTGGCCATAAGGAGGTCTGCTCTACCTGTGTCATTCATCTTCGACTTGTTTGTGAAGATCGCAGATGCTGCCTCTGCAAGTGTGAATCAAATACCATCTTTGTTACTAGAGTTAGTGACGTTTCCATTGTTTTCAACTGCAATTTTTTTTTTTTTTTAAGATTTCAGCAAGTAGTAACTTTGACGCCCTGAAATTCTGTAAATTCTATTATTAGATAAAGTGTTTCATTCTCCATTAGTCTAATTGTGAATTTTCATTGATCTTCTCCATAGTTGGCGTCCTGTGGTCTTAGTCTCAAAATACTTGTTCTGGTCATTTTCCAGGCATTGGGGGATTATACAAAGGCAATAAATGATTTCACAGCTTTTCCAGATGATCCGCCTGAAGGTCAGGTTGGGCCTTACTGGTATCATGGAGGGACACAAGCATTCTTTGATGACTTGGATCAGTACAAGATGATGAAAGCCATGTGCATGCTGTCTTGTGCTGTTTGTCAGAAGAATGAGCAAAGAACTGCTGGATCAAAGAGACGAGGGGAGTTTTAAGAACTTTGAGCAGCTTAGAAGTCATTTGCTCAAGCAGCATGAGCTGCTTATGTGGAGTTTGTGTTTGGAAGGCAGGAAGGTAGGATGACCATTATGTGGCATGTTGTCCAATTACTAATGTTATTGAAATAATTTGTTTCTCATTGTGAGTTTGCATGGAAATTTGGTAGCCTGCTTTATGCCATAATAATGGATGTATTTTCTTTTAGCTCCTATTGGAGTCCCTCTCTTAGCTCTTAGACCTTTCATTCTATTTCTTTATTACTTTTTCTTTTTAAGTTTCTACCTCATTTCAGACAATTAGTTGCTATGTTTTACTGCCTTACGGTATCTTATTGCATCGAGGTTATAAATTGCTTCCTCCTCTTTCATCAATCTATCCTGCAGATACCAGTAAGCTTCCAGTATCGACAGAGTTATGAGCAAAATCATGAGGGTGGGGGACACGGTTCTCTTCTTGATTCACCGAGCAGTCTAATTTCATCAGAAACTCAGACTAGTCTAGCAATAGGTCATACAGAAAGGTTGCACAATACTTCAACCAGTACCCAAGTGGTTACCAGTGATTCAGGAACTCGTAATGTTAATTCAATTTTTGGTCCCTTTTTATCATTAACAAGCATACATTCTGAGCCATCTTCAGGAGATTGTAAATAACACAACTGTTACTGATGCATTGATGATCAAAGATTCAACACAAACTAAAAACTAAGTAGCAGAGTCTTACAGAAAAAGGGTTGATTCAAGAAAGAGTTAAAAGTTGCAAATTCATGGTTGCCTTTGCTGAGAAAAGAGAAGGTAGAAAAGGAAGTGACAAGAAATCCTTGGGTAACCCACTCATTTGAAGAGTCTTGACTCTATTTTCTACAGGATCATAAGCAACCAGAGAACTGCCTCCATTCTGCAACAGAATCTCACCATTCTTCAGTGCACATATAACTGTGGAAAATATTGATAAGCGGCTTGGACATTCACCAGGAAAATAGGGATCAAAGGAGAATTGTTTTACCCAAGATTCCTTAACATGGTATTGCTTCATCACCCAGACATCAAAATGCAAATCATCAACCAACCTAGCTGCCGATAGACACCCATTGAGCACGGAAAGACTGTAGGGGAGTGACACAAATCGTTGACAAGGTGGGTGTGGAATTTCTTCAAACACCTCGTCTGCAAGCTCGAAGGAGATAATACCAAAGATAAGGCCGACTCCTCCCATCCCAACATCAGTCACCCAATGGAGAGATCCTTCAACTAGAGCGTCAGGTGGTTCGATTTCACCCATCAATTGTGGAGGCAGAGCTCCTTTCTTTCTCCACTCTGTTGTTCCTATGGTAAACACCTGAACCATTGATTCATCATCCACTTCTTCCACATCTAGTACCGGGTACCACCCAATCCTGACCACTTTGAATTCTCCTGTCCTCGGATGAAACCCAAATCCAAACACTTCACTTCGATTCGGAAATCGGTTCGCTAGTGGGACTCTCACAGAGTCTCCAACAAAAGGATTGTAAATTAGCAGACTGTGAGACTCCGATGAACCACCGATTAGGGATAAGCATAACAGTCCGTTACAGGAACCCACCAGGTTATTAACTTCTGAATGATGTGGTGGGTCGATTTTCGTAACCCTTCCACTACAGTCCTCACTGTCTACAAAATAGAGTTGGTAGGGCGGGATGGTATGTATATTGTAGTTGAACAGAATCAGACATGGGTTTGAGTTGCTTACCCGGTTGCGGAACATCGGAGGGAGTCTTGGATCGGCAATTAAATCATAGCCGGCATGGGAAGTGGTCTTGAAGTGGATCAGAGAGGTGATCGGAAGGCTTGATAGGATTTCGAACAGAATCTCCCGAGGGAGAAGATGAAGATCTATCTGAACCATCGCTCTGCTAGAAGGATCATCTGCAAGGTTGACTCTTTCATTCTCTCTTCCCTCTTCGGCATCCATGTTTGTGCAAAGAAAAAGGAAATGTGAATGGTGGGAAACGTCGCCGGAGTCGTATATTTAGCGTCGAACCCACTGTGGAAGATTGGAACTTTATTGGGTTAAAGCCAACAAACCCTCTTACCATTTTTATATACCTTTTCTCTAAACTTGGTGACGAAGTTAGCATAAGGATAAGGATGAGTATGATTCAAGCGAACACTAAGACGCTGCAGTTAGAATCAAAAAAGAATAAAAATGTTAGTCATGTGTGAACAAACAAATGAAGTTACAGAAGAAGTAAATATCAGTTCCCACAACCCATGTTCACTGGAACATAAAGTTCACATTTGAAACCAGTCAAACCCAAGACGCATCCCAACAGATGCCAAGACTATCAAGCAATCAATTTGAATTATCTCCATTCACCTAAGGTCCGGAGCGAAGCATAAAAGACAAGCATTCATTATAGTCAATTATCAAAACCAAGAAATTCAAAAATATCCACTTTTATCATCCAAGAACAAAAACTATGATACTTGATTGAGTCCTTCAAAATTAGAGAAATATAATTGTTAGCCTTGATATGTCCTTATAAAGCTCACAAATACATCTCAAAACTCACTTGGGAAGTAGAACTGAACCCCCTAAAGAACTAAATACTATTAAATAACTAGAAACAAGTACCAAAAGATGATAAGCTCAAATCCTGAACCAAGCACAAAAAAATTGTTCCCTTTCTGTATATATTAATCAAGCTCTTTGTTTTCAAACAAAACATGCAATGTCAATTCTTCCATTGAAATCTACATGGGTAGAGAGGGAAGGAGAAGGGTATGTAAGTAAGCATCTGTAAAATAAAATTCCCAGAACAAATTTTGCATCTACCAAACAGAGAAATTGCATAAAAATACCAAATTTACGAACGTAACAAACCCCATCTTCAATCCTTAAAAAACACAACACCCAGAAACCGAAAAAGGAAACAAATTCAAAGATCTAACCCGAATTCTCAAAACAGCTGATTATAAAGACCTAAATTTAAAAGAAAAAAAATCATAAAAATCCTTGATGAGAAGCTCAATGTCCAAATTAACAACGCTCTGAAAAAGATCTAACCAAAAACAACCCATTCAAATCCAAATGTAAGATAAAAACAAAAACTTCAGTTTATTTATTTAAAAAAAATCATAAATTACACACCAAATCCCAAAAGAAATAACTAAAAACGAAAACCCAGAATCAGATGAAGATACCCTTCGCGATGGAAGCAGCAAAACCCAGAATCGGAAAAAGAGAAGAAACAATAAACGGGCGTCGTGGCAAAGAAGAAGAGTGTCAGTCACAGAGATGATGATGATGATTACAGAAAAGGGAAGGAGAGAGAAGAATAGGTAATAACACGGTTCTCTTTCTGATTCACCAAGCAGTCTAATTTCACTAAGCAGTCTAGCAATAGGTCATAGAGAGAGGTTGCACAATACTTCAACAAGTACCCAAGTAGTTACCAGTGATTCAGGAACTCGTAAAGTTAATTCAATTTTTGGTCCCTTTTCGTCATTAGCAACCATAGATTCTGAGCCATCTTCATGAGATTGTAAATAACACAACTATTACTGATGCATTGATGATCAAAGATTCAACACAAACTAAAAACTAGTAGTAGTCTTACAGAAAAAAGGTTGATTCAATAGAGAGAGTTAAAGTTGCAAATTTATGGTTGCCTTTGCCGAGGAAAGAGAAGGTAGAAAAGGAAGTGCCTGGAACCAATTTGGTAACCCACTTATTTGAAGAGTCTTGAATCTGTTTTCCACAGGATCATAAGAAATCAGAGAACTGTGTTCATTCTGCAACAGAATCTCACCATTCTTCAGTGCACATATAACTGTGGAAAATCTTGTTAAGAAGCGTTGCCATCCACCAGGAAAATAGGGATCAAAGGAGAATTGTTTTACCCAAGATTCCTTAACACGATATTGCTTCATCACCCAGATATCATAATGCAAAGCATCAACCAACCTAGCTGCCGATAGACACCCATTGAGCACGGAAAGACTGTAGTCACGTGACACAAATCGTTGACATGGTGGGTGCGGAATTTCTTCGAACACCTCATCTGCAAGCTCGAAGGAGATAATACCAAAGATAAGACCTACTACTCCCACCCCAACTTCAGTCACCCAATGGAGAGATCCTTCAACTAGAGCCTCAGGTGGTTTCATTTTATACGCCAATTGTGTAGGCGGAGCTCCTTTCTTTCTCCACTCTGTTGTTCCTATGGTAAACACCTGAACCATTGATTCATCATCCACTTCTTCCACATCTAGCGCCGACTCGTCCCACACAATCCTGACCACTTTGAATTCTCCTGTCCTCGGATGAAACCCAAATCCAAAAACTTCACTTTGATTCAGAAATCGGTTCGCTGGTGGGACTCTCACAGCCTCTCCAACAAAAGGATTGTAAATTAGCAGACTGTGAGACTCCGATGAACCACCGATTATGGGAAAGGATAAGCATAACAGCCCGTTACATGAATCCACCAGACTATCAACTTCTGAATGATGTGGTGGGTCGATTTTCGTAACCCTTCCACTGCAGTCCTCATTATCCACAAAATAGAGCTGCCAGGGCGAGAAGGCAAGGATATTGTAGTTGAACAGAATCAGACATGGGTTTGAGTTGCTTACCCGGTTGTGGAACATCGGAGGGAGTCTTGGATCAGCAATTAAATCATAGCCGGCATGGGAAGTGGTCTTGAAGTGGATCAGAGAGGTGATCGGGAGTCTTGATAGGATATCGAGTAGAATCTCCCGAGGGAGAAGATGAAGATCTGTCTGAACCATCGCTCTATTGGAAGGATCATCTGCAAGGTTGACTCTTTCCTCCTCTCTTCCCTCTTCGGCATCCATGTTTGTCCAAAGAGAAAGTAAATGTGAAACGTGGCCGGCGTCGTATATTTAGCGTCGAAGCCATGGTGGAAGATTGGAATTTTATTGGGTTAAAGCCAACAAACCCCTCCTACACTCCCATTTGACCTCGTCAAGTCGTCCCTCTACGTTGCAAGAAAACGTTCATGGTCATCCTTACACTAACTTCATCACTGAGTTTAGAGAAAAGGAATATAAAAATTGAGAAATAAATATCATTTACCTTAAAAAATCCAATCATTTACCTGCAGTTAAAATAAAAAAGAAATAAAAATGTTAGTCATCTTAACAAACAAATGAAATTGCAGAAGAAATAAATAGCATTTCCCACAACCCATGTTGACTGGAACTTAAAGTTGCATGAGAAACCAGTTAAACTTGAGGCATCCCAACAAATGCCAAAACCATCAAGCAATCAATTTGAATTATCTCCATTCACCTAAAGTCC